TAGTCATGTACACACCAGAATATATAGTCGAATAAGAATTTTCCAAAAATACAATATGCAACTACTTTAGAACTAGTAGTCAACTACTACTAATACAAAAAAAAAAAAGAAATTTAAGGGCACTTTTTGCATTAGTTAGAAAGCAAACGATGCAGAAAGTCCAAGCTATAGCATATTTGTAATTATAATGATTGGCTGCATACTTTCTACATAGGCCACCTGATGTAGATAATACACTTTCTACATTGGGTGGGTTGCAACCTATGTGGAAAATGCATAAAATTTTTTAAAAATAAAAAATAATGCACTTTCAACATCAAGTGCCAAGCATCCAATATGGGTGCTTGGCACCCGATGTACGCATTATATATCGTTTGCACCTCCAAATATCATAGATTCATAGTTTTCCTCTTCATTGAACGCTCTATCCCTTACCTTTGTGAGCACTAGCATCTTCCTCCCTTGTCACTATAGCTGTAGTTGCGCTCCTTGATGCTGCCCCTTCATCCTCCTCGGTCCTAATTCTCCCTCCCCTCCTCCTTTTCAAAATTTTGCAATTATACTCTCTTAATTTTTTTAAATGTCAATTTTTAATATATATATATATATATATAATTGTTTAATGTAATTTTAGTTTAATTCGATAGTATTTTTTATTAATTCTTCTAATTAGTTAGTGGCTGTTATATATATGATGATAGTTGAATATTATATAATTATTACTTGGTGAATGTTGTTAGTGGCTACCCAATGCTCTACATTGATGCACGTGATCAAGTTGTTGTTGTTGACATTGTTTAGATATAAAATTGTGCAGGTTTTGTTTACAAATTTTTTTGCAAGTCCAATTTTTAGAGAAGATTTTATCAAAATTTTTTTAAATTCATTCTTTCTCCTAAAGTACTAGACACATTAGTCCCATTCTCTACTAATAAGGTAAAGACTTTGGCTGAAGTTATTGACAATTTTATCCTATGGTCCAAGAGATATGTGAATATGGTTCAAGTTGTGGCATGAAATTTCATGCATTTTTATTATGTGGCGGCTTTCCTAACATGTGTTTTTTTATTAACTATTTCTTGCTTTGTTACTATGTAGTAGCTTCTCTCACTGAATCTCCCAAAACTTTCAAAACTCTCGTTGACCCTGCACCAACAAATGATATTAATGGCATATGATTCATCATTTAAATTCAAATATTTAGAAATGGATCTAGAGGTTGTGGGTAAGAAAGACAAAACAATGACGATTAATTGAGAAGATTTGCTTCGACTTCTGTCAAATAGTTAACTTATCACACTACACATTGAACTATTTATGATGTAAGTATATTTTTCTGTAATATAATTGACTTAATCATTAAGTTTGGTGAAATAACATGATTGCATTATTGTAGGTACCTCTATCGTTTGTCTATCACATCGGACAAATGTGATAAGTTTGAATTCCTTTGCCTGTATCACATGATAGAGAAAGGAAATACTTTAGAGTTAAGGGCTGAGTACCTCCAGTAGAAAATATGTGAAGTCAAGAAGAACATTTTCATGGCTCCATACGTGCACTCGTAAGGATTAATTTGCAATTAATAGTTTTTTTCCAATGTGAATTTACTTTAACTTATATCATATTTTGCAAGGAACATTGACATTTGTTTATTCTTTCAATGAAGAGTAACACTGTCATTTTCTTATGTTTTTTCCATTACGAACTTGGGAAGAAAATAAAGAAGATGATAGACTTGTAAGTGTACTTCTGCAAAACTATCTAATTTAATTTTTCTAAATATATCAGTTACTAACTTGGTGATCTTAATCATAAGACAATGCAAATATATCAAAATGTAGTCTTGCAAAAGCATGGACATGAACTCAAGTATCTCGCATGTAGATCGAGCCAAAGGTGATGCTACATTTTATGAGCATGTTCAATTATTAAGATTTATTATTGATTTCTTATGATGTATTCTTAAGTGATGTAGACAACTAGTGAAGATGAATTTGTGCAGCCTATATGTGATGAGACACATGTTCAACATCATTACATTGGATATGACCGAATTTATAAAGAGGTAAATATATTTTTAAAAATTTTATTTTATTGTTTTATTTGAGATTAGTTAATAAGCCTCTTTTAAAAATTATATTTTAGATGTTGACAATTCTGATCCATTTTTTAAAGTTGAAATTGAAAATATTTGCATATGTTGGGCAGCTTATTTTAGGAGAATTTTTGAGTTTTATAAAATATTCTCTAAATATATTATATCATTATTGTATATATATTTCAGTCATTATTAGGAAATACTATTTGATAGTATTATATAATTACTAGTCATTATTGTGTTGTCTATTTATTGGTATATATACTGTATCCCTCAAATCAATAATATACATGATGTACATTTTTCAATCCTTCTTAGGTTATCCCTCTCATCTCTCATACACTACAAAAAAATTGACTTTTGGCGGCGATAAAAAGTCGCCGCCAAAACTCCAAAAGTCGCCGCTAAAAGTTTTTGGCGGTGACTTTCCGCCGCTAAAAATCATCGCTATAACAACGGTCGTTAATAGTTTTTGGCGGCGACAATATTTGTCACCGCCAAAAGTATACTTTTAGCGGTGACAATTTGTCGTCACCAAAACTTTTTTTTAAGAAATAATAATTTATTTTATGCCACATCACTCTGCCACGTATGCATTAAGTGATGCCACGTCACCTACCATATATGCAATAGATTATGCCACGTCACTTGCCATCTTGTGTCACGTCACAGTCCATGTGTTCAACAGATAATGCCACATCACCTAGCCATCTTATGCCATATCACATGACACATGTGCACTTCCTCAAGCCACCTCATGTGCCATGCCACCAGCTCATGCCACATCACCTATCACGTGTGTGACTTCTCAAACAACCCCACGTGCCACGTCACCACCATGCGCCACGTCACATATTTGTTGTGAAATATGACAAAGCCAAGATTTGAACCCTTGACCTCTCCCTCCTTCAAACCTTAAACCTCCCTTCTTTGTCAGTTGAACTGAAATGTACCTGCAGTTATTATATGTGAAATTAAATATATATTATGTAACTGCATACATATATATCAAATAATATATGATTAAAAAGATATACATATATTTTATTTTATTTTCAATTATTAACATGACAAAATAATTTATATGAATATTTAAATTATAATTTTAATAAAATATTATGTTTCACCAATAAATATTATTTTTTTAGGAAAATGAACTTAAAATAAAAAATTTTTAAATATTAAAATAATATTCTTATATACATTGTAATAAATTTTTAAATTATATTTTTATTTTTTAAATGAAAATTATTAAGTATATAATTTATTTATAAATATGTATTATATTATTTTATGTTAAATATCTTTTACTTTTTTCTTCTCCATATTTTTCTCAAAAATTGATAAACTAAATGATTAAATTTTTATCCTCTCTCAAAATAGCTAAATATTTCCCCCTCTTTTAATAAAAAATATATTTTATAGATAATTTTTCAATATCTTAAAAAATTATTTTAATAAGAAAGTAATTTTAACCACATAAATTTTGTTAATAGTCATTTTGAATAATTTTAAAAATGAATACTAATAACTTTTGCAATATATGATAATTACAAGAATCTCTGTGTGATCAATCTAGTTAACATCTAATCATCTTCAATCTTATAGAAAGGTGAATTTGAGTAGTTATTCATATTATTCTTAGTAATAATTAGTTATAAAATGTTATTATAGCAATGAAAACCTAAATATACTAGGAGGAATTACATGAAATCCTTGTCCAAAAGTCATTAGAGCTTAGTAGAAGAAGTAAATATCATATGTATATCAAGCTAAGTATAAATTGCGTAATATGCTAAGTAGTCTATAATATCATTAGCATCTCACAATGTTTGTACAACTTTAACTTTCTAATGCCATTTATGTATTTGATTGTAAGTAATAATTTATGTATAACTTAACCTAATTATAATTGAATTAATAACCTATTAAGATTTAAATTTATCATATTAAAATACTAGCTTAATAACATAATTCTTAAAAAAAATATGAGCTATATATGTCTAAAAAATGATTATGAATAATATAAAATTAAAAAAATTTAATAATTAAACTTAGCACACTTTAACTATTATTTTTTTATTTCACATTCCTATATATAATTTATTTCTAATTCTATACATAAAATAAGAAATTTAATTTCATAAATATATTTTGAATAATTTTATTTAATTATTTTTTAATTTTTAAATTATTTTTTATAAAAATACTTTTGGTGGCGACAAATTGTCACCGCCAAAAGTAAATTGTTGCTGCCAAAAGTAAATTATATTAATTATTTTTTAATTTTTTAATTATTTTCTATAAAAATGTTTTTGGTGGCGACAAATGTCGCCGCCAAAAGTAAATTATATTAATTATTTTTTATTTTTAATTTATTTTTATAAAAATATTTTTGGCGGCGACATTTAGTGAACTTTTAACGGTGATAAATCACAGTCGCTGTTAAAAGTAACTTTTGGTGGCAAGTTTGATTTGTCGTCGCTAAAAATATAGTTTTTGTAATAACTTTTAGCGACGACAATTCAACTTTTGGCAGCGACGTCGCCAAAAGTCATTTTTTATAATGATAGCTTTCAGGCGGTAATCACAACAACAAAGAATGATCAAATATAGTCCAGGATAGTTGAATAAGGTTTGTTTAGAGGCAAAACTCAAGTTCAAAAAGACACTGATTAGTAGTCGAATAAAAAAGGCAGCATTTGACTACTAAAATTGCAGTTTAGAAAATCTCGTTTTCATCATTCCCTTCTACATATTGCACTTTAGCAATTGAGTAAGATTGATAGTTTAAGGCGGATATATTCACATCGAGGATTTTTATGCCAGAGTGTGTGCGTGTAAGGTTTTAAGTAAAAATATCAAAAAAGTAGAGAAGATTTAACACATCCCCATCATATTGAAAAGGAAATTGCCTTATTAAGACTCTTACTATACGAGAGTACATTGATTACAAGTCCATTACTCAGTGATAATGACAATGACTTGCTTTTCTAGTAAAGTATATGTTTATTACTAGGGCGAAAAAGATTCTTACACAAATAGGTTGAGTAAACTATATCAGACGAGAGTGGAAAAAGCAGATCAAACACGAATAAGGATATAGGTATAGAAGCAAGTGCAGAAATGAAGATAGGAACCCACTTTGAACCATGATCATACATGATGAAAAAGGCACTGCTAAATGCTATCATCATGCTTATTATGGAGACGAACAAAGCAACCAACCCGGATATCAGCTTCAAGGGTAAAGTCCTGCGAAAATCATCTTCTGCATAGCGTGAGATGAGGATGGACAGGAAAATAAGTATGGAGGTTGAAGATGAGATCATTGCAGTTGCATCAGATATGGCGAATATCAGGAATGAACGTTCCTGCAAGTAATTAGGGTTCCTTGTACTGTCATTTATACCACCTGGTATACTAAATGCAGCAGTAAACACTGCTGTAGTAATAATAGTGGCAACAATCATGCACGATTCTGCTGTTTTCTTCATCCATTCTTCAGCTTTGCCCAATAATTTTTCATGTTCCTTTGTGAATAGTTGGCGAGGAGTCAAGTCTGCAGCGTTCTTCTCCTCTATTAATGATGGTAACATGATCTTCTCCACCTCCTGCCATGTTAAAGGATATTTAATTCCATCAACATCTATATACAATGTGTAAAATTTATAATAGGCTACATTATTCATAAGGGTTCACCTATCTTAAAGATAGGCTAATTATTGTTTACAGCAAAATACCTCAAACCATAATAACTCAGAGGTCATTTGAAAAGCCGCTCCCGAAACTACGTTTAATCGATCCGGTGGTGCCAATCTTGCAGCCAGGTGTAATAAATTGCCTTTATCTTCATTATCCACAAAACTTACTATGAAATCTTTCATAGGGCCAATATCATGTATGAGATTGAAGATATCAGCATAACGACGCCGAACTGCAACATGAATTATGCTGTGATTTCTTTCATTAACTTCCCATATCAAATCAGTATAAGTACTAGTAAGCGCAGCTAGAAACTCAAAGTTTCCCACTTCTACAGCATTGAATGTTACTAATGAGGGCTCTTTTATAGTGCGCATAATCTCTTCAACATCTTCTTCAAGGATTCTACTCCACAGGCATTGTACAAGTTGAAGTTGCTCTGTTTGCCTCAAACCTGCAAAACACAATTTGACCATCAATACATCAAATCTGAAAATTCTTGAGAAAATTTACAAAGTAAAATAAATCAAAATTGTCATTCGTTTATTTCCATGTGACCATTAATTTTTTGTCTAAGGTAAAAACTACTGTATTCCAATTGTTTGTAATTTGTGATCATGAGCACTTAATTACCGGACTTCATAAACCGCTTTCGATATCGTTGACTTTTGCAAATAGAACCTAAAGGCTTTCGAGCCAATATATGTAACACTGTCTCGTTGTTTGGACTATCCCTCTCAAAAGCTAGATCTGGCCTCTTCTCCAGCACCTTCAAGGCCAAGCCTGCACAAATTTAGCACAAGGTACATATCACACTTCAAATCTTACACATGTCATATTTTATATGTAGTTTCATGTTTTGTGTGCGCGCGCGCGCGCGCGAGAGAGAGAGAGAGAGAGAGAGAGAGGTATTCTTACCGTAGATTCCACTTTTGACACAGTAGAAGAGCAGCATTATCCAATCTTTATATTCATGAAAAACACGAATAGTTTCATCGAACAGATGTGAAGCCATTTCACTTTGTCCTTGTAAAGCAGCCATGTGAAGAGGAGTGAGTCCTTTACCACCTCTTATTGTTGGCAAGTTCTGATTCTTTCCCTTCATGATCTGAACAATCTTCATATTCCCAGTTGCTGCAGCGAGGCAGAACGCAGTGTTCCCTTTCGCGTCTTGCAATTCCAAGTCACGTGGCTCCATTATCTTCACTAGCTCCTCCACGAAGTGAACACGATTCGCTACGGCGGCCATGTGGAGCATCGTGTAACACCCCCCGCTGGTTATGGCGGTGCGACTTAGACTCATGTCTTTATCTAAGATGTGCTTTGCTGCTTTCCAGTCACCTTTCGATGCTGCTTTCTGAAGGGGAACACATAGTTTTTGGTATTTATCTCTTCGCTCTTCTGAAACAAGTTAAATGGATGGCCGTAATAAAGAACACGTTATATAGTTTGTAATATGAATGGACACACTCTAGAGAGAAGAAAGATATAATACGTGTACCATTAATAAGATGAAGGAGGGGCCTCCTAAACCGAGCTGAAGCAACATGCTCAAGTTGGGGTGCTGGTACAGTCGCTGAGCTTACGTTTGCTGCGGCCATTTCCCTGTTAAGAAAGCATACTACGTGCTCATAAATTTGTTTGCCTTATTATATGCAGAAAATTAAAACAAATCAAAACAAGCAAACAAGACATGAGAAGTAGTTTCTTCGACAGTGCTTAAAAGTCTACGGAAATAGAATTTTCCGGTGCAAGAGTCCAAAGGTTGGCCTACATGGACTAAAAAACTTTTCGCGTGCTTTATAAAATTAATATTCGATAACAAGTATACTGATATTTATAGCGTATGGCATAAATTCTTGAAATACAGTGTTAGACTGTTAGGTAAATGAAATAATCTGTAAGTCATTCAAAAGCTAAGATCTCTCTACCTATGCAAATCGATCTCTCAATATATAGGTAAGACGTACTCCATATATGTATATATTATATAAATCATTCCAAAATTAAAACATACATGTCAGATCGAATTCAGACTCTTTATTATGACTTATCAGGAACTTAAAAGAAGGATGACAAGATAGATTACACGTTGATGAGGTGTTGTGTGGGGAAGCAATTGCTAACACTGCTTCTTTCTGTCCCTGATGATTCAACCGCTAATGGGCTCGCCATCTTCGCAGATTGTAAACACAAACACAACACAGATTCAAGATCCGAAGTGAGTTATCGGACAGAACTTACTAAAACGATACAATGTTATCTATGAAGCACCGACACTGAAAAATCTCAATATTTACAAAAGAAAACTTCTGAAAAGCTGAAGAGTTTTTAGACATTTTAACTAAGTTATAGTAACAATAACATGAAAGAAACAAGATTTCCAGAACAAGGAGGTGGTGAGATCTAGCAAGGAGTTCCTAGAGAGAGAGAAAAATTTCGAGGGGGAAGGGAGAGAGACAAGGATTTGATTAAGTTACCTCAAAATGGAAGAGCTGGATTGAGAGGTTTGGAATTCAGAGCTTTATGGAGAACAATTACTAGTACGGCCACAATCATTCTTCTTTCTTTCTTTCTTTCTTTCTTTCTTTCTTTTTTTTTTTGGGTGGGCGCGGCCACTTTCCTTTTGAAAATTTAGGAAAAACAACATTAAAGTCTCAAACTAATAAATTTATGATAGTTTGATCTTCAATAAAAAATTTTACGAAATCAGTTGAAAATATTTGATTTAAACAATTACAAATTCAAAAATTTTAATTGCAAATAAAATATTTAGAATTCTTATTTACAACTGATTGAATCAATATTTAAAAATTTTTTCAAAAATTTTATTGAAAACTTTACTATCATAAATTCTTTATTTTAAAACTTTAGTGTCATTCTTCCAAAAATTTAAGCGCTGTTGTTAGGTTGTTTGAAATGATAACGAGAATAAAATAGATAAATAAAAACAAGATGGTCAAAAAGTATAGGAGAAATTAACCATGTCTATAGGAGAAATAGTAATTTAATTTATAAAATTAGGATTCATGATTCATAAGATTGTGAAGAGTATATTGATGTTCACATTTATAGTATATGGTATTAAGTTTGATTATATTTATGGTAATTTATTTTTACTTTTTTATTCTATTTCATTCCCATCCTTGTTACTTAGTAATCATATGGCTTCTAAGTATTTATTTTTTCTTGCGAAAAATTAGCAGCATGGGTTTTGAGTGCTAATTAAAATAAGCTACACTTTTATAATTTAAAAAAATTCAAGTTGTTTGATTTCTACATTATATAAAAAAATTACTCACATTTTTTTTAAAAAAATATAAAGTTGACAACCCAAAATATTGCATTAATCCAAGGTTTGTGGTATAAACAAATTGTTTCTTTACACAAATTTTTATGACAAAATTATTCTTTAACCTAATCAAATTTTTAACTAATAGTTCATGTTAGTCAAGCATTACCAGCTAGCAACATTGCACCATTTGTAAGGTTTCTAAAATAAATTTGAGCCAATCAAAGTCAATGATACTAGTTACATTTGGTAAAAAAAAATTAGGATAAATTTATTCTTTAACCCTGTATTAAAAATAAATGTAAAACTGCACATGCCTCCGGCAAAATTGAATGCAAAAAGTTGCGTGGAGCTTAAAAGAAGAATGTTTTTTCTTTTCATTTCAAAAGAATGTTAATAATCATGACTTCATAGAATAACTACTAATAGATCTTTATCAGCGACCGATGCACATGGGAGCAAGAAAGGGTACGATGAAAAATGAAAACAAAAAATCCAAAGAAAAAGTGGAGTCAATTCACAATGTTTTGCTTTATGTAAAAATATTTATATATGTAACAAAATTAAATCCTTCCACAAAACAATGAAGACAAGGAAGTGAGATGCAAGGAAACTTCCGAAAGGGCCATCGCAACACAAATCGGGTGAGGGGTTGGCCGCCTTCGGTCTCTCCACTTGCGTCACTTCATTTTGTTCTTTTTTCAATATTCTTCGGAGAATCGCACCTAATTAAGGCCCTACATAGAAGTATTGCATCTAAAGCTTGATATCTTTGGAATTATATTGTTTTTGCAAATTCAAGGTCCTCAAATGCTAATATGTTTCTTCATGAAAAAATGTATTTGCATTTAGCCACAAAAAATATGTATAATAAATAGACATTATATTATTCAAATATGAATTTTGTCATATTCTTTACAAACATATTCTGTTGTACAAACATATAGAAAACTTGTATATTATTGTTTAATTTAACCACACGGACTATTTATGTAGTAAACGGATATTGCATTATTCACATGTGAACATTAACTATCATGCTCTTTACGAATATTATATTCATGTATGAATATTATCGGTCGACTTAACCACGCGGACTATGTATAATAAATGAACATTATATTGTTCATGGAACTTCCCATGTTCTTTGTAGATGTTGTGGTATACTTACACATGAAAAATTTATATATTTAGGGCAAATATGTCTTTTCAAGAAGAAACATATTTGCATTTGGGAATTTTGGGATTGCAAAAATAATTCGAAATATATTAGATCTTATGTGCAATTTTTTTGTATTATGAGGTCTTAGGTGCGACTCTCCCAATATTCTTTAGAGGATATGTGTTGTGTGATATTTATATCTCAAGTCTCATCAACCGTGTTCTCTGTTGAATTTTAATTTGTGATTTAAAAAAAAAGAATAAGCTCAATAATGAAAATTTAGACACCAGTGACCAGAAGTCTCGTGCACTGCTAAAAAATAAAAAATCTACAGTGAGCTTTTTTAAAAATAATTTTTAAAATATATAGGTTTAGTTTTAATTTTTTCTGAAGACATCTATAAGTGGCATTTTTTTAATATATTAAAAAACATTAATATAAATATATTATTTCAGAATCTTTTTTTAGTAGTGGTAGTTATAAGAGTATGCATCTTTTAATTGTTTTTTAAAAAATAAATTGTTAAAGAGGAGAAATGAAAATCTCTACAGTTACACAAGTAGCAAAATCTATATCAAAGATCAGTGCAATTAAACAACTTGCAATTCTTTTTTTTTTTTTTTTTGCAGTAATTTTTCGGTTGGAATTTATCTTAATATCTATAGCGTACCATTAACATAAGGGATGACTCTACTTCTGACTAATCTATATTTATATAGAGTAAATGGGTATTTTGGCCCCCCAAAATATAGGTCAAGAAATATCTGCGACTCTAAATTTATTTTTGTACAATTTTTTTTTTAACTTTTAAAAATTGTGTAATATAACTCATTCTGTTAATAAAAGTTAACTTTAACTATCAGTTAATTTGAGAATGACATAAAATATCTCAATTTTTTTTAAAAGGAGCCAAAAATTACAAAAAAATAACAAATTAAAGATAAAGACCCAAAATATTACAGAAAATGACAAAACAAATTATCTTTTTTTTTGTAATTTTTGATGTTATTTTCTGATTAACTAATAGTTAAAATTATTTTTTATCAATAAAAAGGGTTAAAATGCACTGTTTTCAAAAGTTGAATGGACATATTGTGCAAAAAAAGAGTTTAATGGAAAAAAAAATTGGAAGAAAGAGAAAATTTATATACTTGACATTACCTGCTTAAGGCGTTTCTTTTCAATTACATCAAAGTATGTGTATTATTTATATATTATTTATTTTATAATAATTTTTTGTTATTAATATAATTAATTAACACATTCAATACTAGAAAAATATAAATTAGCAAGGGATCATCTATTCCTCTCTAAAATATCAAATTAGTGAGGAGTATTGATTTCATAGCTTGATTTAAAATTAGTGAGGAACTGTCAATTCCTTTGTAAAATAAGAAAATTAGCGAAAAAAATAGTGAGAAACTACTAATCCCTTTTTAAAATAAAACAATTAGCGAGAAAAATAATGAGAGACTATCAACCTCTCTCTAAAATAAGACAATTGGTGAAAAAAATAGCGAAAAATTGCTAATCCCTCTCTAAAATAAAATTATTAGTGAGGAATTTAGCAAATATCCCTAACTAATTACTGTAAAAAGAAAAAATAATTTTTGACAATGACTTTTAATTATATATTTAATTATTTTTATTTAAAAATAAAATTAAATTTAAAAATTAACTAATATATTCATAATAAAATTATTTAATATTTAATATTTTATTTATTTCAATTTAATTTTCATTAATAAAATAATATTTTATTAAAAAATAATATAAAAAATAACTCAAATAAAATATAAATATTTTTCACATATTAATAATTCAAAATAAAATTTAATATGTATATATGTGTGTATTTTATAATATATTATTTGATATAATTATATAGTTAAATAATATATATTTAATTTTTTATATAGTGATTGTAGGTACCTTTTAGTTCAACTGTTAAAAAAAAAAGTATAAGGCTTGGAAGACATTCAATGGTTCAAGTTGTGACTTTGGCACAAACATAATGAATATATGATATGGTAAGGAGCAAATAATATGGCGCAAGGTGAACAATAATATATCATGAGTTGTTGCACATGTGGCAAGTGATAGGGCACGAGATGGTAATTAACATGGGAGTTGACGAGGCATGAGGTTATTAGTGATATATCACAAGTTGAGGCACACATAGCAGGTGATGTGGCATTATTATTTTTAAATATAGGCATATTTAGTGAGAAATTATTAAATTACAAGCTGAGGCACAAGTTGGTGATATATCACAAGTTGAGGCACACACGAAGGACTAATCTCTCATTAAATTATTAAATTTTGAATAGTATTAATTTGAAATTTAATCTCATGCTAATTTTAGCAAGGGATTGAATCCCTCACTAATTAGCGAGAAAAATATAATCTCTTGCTAAATTTAACGAACCTTTTTTTAGTTACAAATTTAGTGAGGGATAAAATTCTTTGTTAAAACATAATTTAGCTAGGGAAAATGGCATTATCCCTTGCTAAATTTTATTTTTCTAGTAATAATTAAAATTCACTTATTTTAACTTGATTATATAAAAATACTTTAAGTATGTAAGGGTTGTAAGGCTAAGTATCTAAGTCTTGCCAATTAAAATAAATCTAATTAGAATAACTTCCTCAATTAAAACACTCCAATTGCTTAATATTTAATAGAGTAGATAAAGGGCCCATTTGATTAAAATTAAAACAATAAGTGATTTTTATCTAGTTTAAAGATTTTATACAAAGAGATTTATTTTGTAGAGATTTTATAAAAAGAAGACATTATTTTATGTTTAGTTATAATAATAAAAGAGTGATTATTAGATAATTATTTTAAAATTTTATGATATTTTTCTTAATTTTTGTTTTATAAAAATAATTTATTATTATATTATTTAAAATTTTATGATATCTTTATATATTCTGCTTTTTTTAAATTGTGTCTCTCATTTATTGCATTGGATTATTTTAAAAAAATATTAATAAAAAATTTGTTTTTTTGAATTT